TAGTACTATAGTAACACAAACATAATTAGAAGTAGATAAAAAAAAAAGTAAAAAGTAACATACATTAACTACCTCTTAATAGTAAGACGTTAGAATACATAGAGTAAAAAAAAAAAAGATGTAGCTAAGCAATAGTAGGAATATAGAACAATACTAAGTAGGTTTAGGACTAGTCTAGGATAGGTCCTAGTCTAGATAGTGACTAATCCTGCCTAATTTTTACCTAGAAAGAGAACATAACGCAAACTATAGCATACACTAAATAATAAGTAGTATCTTGCGCAGAATGTGTGTAAAATAAAAGTAACTTTAAATAGTATTTAGATAGCCTTTAAAATATATTTAGATAGCCTTTGCATCTAAAACACTATGCAAGATAAGAATAAAGTTTTTATGTAAGGCTAGTTTGCCCTAGCACTGCGCAAGATATAATAAGACATTTAATAAAGTAATAATAAGTTAAAAACTACTTATAATAACATCTTAAATACCCTACACTTAGTAATTACAACTGCTGTACTGCTAGGCGTATAAGAGATAAAGAGCAAATTTAGAACAATTTTAGACAGAATTTATATAGGTCTCTAATAACCTTGCATGCTACTACTGCAGTTAACCCCTAAAATAGCCTTTTTATAGGGGCAGTCTAATGTGTACATTAATATTAGTATTTTTACCTTCTTTATATAGTTTAGCTTATAAAAGAATGTAGTTATAAACCTAATTAAAACTAGATTTAAACACGTCTAGACTTTACCTAGCTGCTAACATGCAGCATGCTACTATATAAAGTTATTTTAGCAACTAATGCGCTAACCTTTTACTGCTATTACTTAAATAGTTGTCTACATATAAATTAGTATTAATTTACTATTAAAACGCCTTTGCAGTTATATCTAAATCTGTTACTATGCCTCTACATAATGTTGCGTTCCCTTCCTAGCTAGAGAACTATGTAGGCCTTTTTTATATTAAGCCCCTTATTATTGTATTGCAATTTAATTACTTTTAAGGGGCCTTTTCTTAAATATTAAAAACTATGCAATAAGACTAACAGCACGCCTATAAAAAAAAGTAGTATTTGTAAACTAGCATAGAGGACTAAGAAATTTATAGTTATAAGTAAATATAAACTCTATCTACACTTATTTACTTTATGTAACAGCTTGTATAAATAAATAATAATAAAAAAAGAAGGTATTAAATGCTATCTAGATTAGGGCATACAAGCGTCTTTACTATGTTAAATAAAACTTTAATATATGTAATATAAGTATCTATCTATTTTTAGTACTGTTTTAAATGCGTTAGGCTGTGTTTTTAAACTAAAAATAACTTATAAACTATGTCTGCTGCTGCTATTCTTAGTTATACTGTATACTGCAACTAGATAGGGAGCTAGAGGTAATGTATAAAAAGCAGATTAAGAGCATGTTAGCTACCCCCCCTCTTTAACTACTACTAATGTAGTCTAGAATACTATACAAAGCTAATAGAGCTTGTACAACATGTCGCACAAGAGCTTAGATCCCTAAGCCTCCTCCTATTGCTATAAGTCCCCCCGCCCTTATGCAACTGCTGTCCCTATCCTGTTTATAACACTAATAGTAGTAATAATAATAAAAACATAGTAGAGATTAGCAATATAATAGATAATTTTAAGAGGCTTTAAAAGATTTTAGAGGACAGCGTTGTCTCTCTTTAGACATGTCTAAATAAGTCTATTAGGGAAACTTCTAAGAATAATGTCTTTTCTAACACTACAAAGCCTACGCTAGGAGGTATAGCTAACTAATTAGATTTACTTTCTAATGCTATTAAAAGCAGATTATAATTAGACTAGAGAAGACATGCTTACAACAGTAAATCTAAGGCTTATAGTAAAAACTAATTAGAATAGTTAATAGAGAAAGTGCAGCACTAGACATTTCTAAAGGTAATAAACACTACTTAAGGGCATTTATATTTTTATCTAATTAGCAACTAGACAAGAGACAACTGCTGCATTAATAAAAAAAGGCTTTAAAATTACTAGTACAAAGAGCAAGAAATACTAGAAAGATGTAGAAATAAAAAGAAGTAAGTCTTTATTATGTTTATATGCTTTTTAGTTACTAATCTCTTTTAAAAAAACTACTAAACTTAAAGTTATGTCTTTAAATTGCAGAGGTGCAGAGATAGCTATAGCATAAGAAGCCTTATAATACATGTAAGGTAGAAAATAAAAAGGCAAGTAAGTATAACTATAAGGTATAAAACATAAATATATAGTGCTAATAACTCTATAAAAAAGAGCTGTATAATAGTAAATCTAAGCTATAAGCTTTCTCTTTGCTTTATAAGTAACTACTTTTTCTACTTATTTACTTAAGAATTTAGATAGTAAATAATCTATATAGTACATCTAAACACGTTTTAAATATAATTTTAGTTACTTCTACGTTTTTGTCTATGTAGAATATTTATAGCTTTTGTTTAAGTTTTAGTCTATATTAGGGCTAAGATTAATTTCCTTAACGTTGGTTTTAGTTTAGACCAGTCCTTGACCAGTCCTAAACTAGCTTCGAACCAGTCCTAAACTAGCTGTGAACCAGTCCTAGACTAGTTATGAACCAGTTTTAAACCAATCCTACACTAGCTGTAAACCAGTCCTAGACTAGTTATGAACCAGTCTTAGACTAGCTGTAAACTAGTTCTAGACTAACTGTGAACCAGTCCTAGACTAGCTGTAAACCAGTTCTAGACTAACTGTGAATCAGTCCTAGACTGGTTATGAAGCAGTTTTAAACACGTTCAATTAAAGAAGAGATCGTTATATCAAATTCCGTATATTCGATAGTTAGAGCTAGGCCAGACTCATTCCCTACTAAAGCCTGTTTGCAGTGACGTCCTAAGGTCATCCATCCCACCCATAAAGAGATGTTGAAAAGGGGAATCTTATGCTAATGCCCTACAGACGCTATATAAACCTAATAGAATGCAAATCTAGCAACCTCCTTAACTTGTTTTGTAATAATTAAAGTGCTCCTAATAACAAAATGCACAAAGAAAATAAGAAAAAGAAAGGGTGTTTGCCTAGCCTAGCATTATAATAATGCAGCTACAATAGGGTTTAGAACACTATTAAGTAATAATGTAATCTGCTTAATATAAATTATTGTTGTTATTATTGTTATTGTTGTTGTTATTGTTATTATTGTTATTATTGTTATTATTGTTATTATTGTTATTATTGTTATTATTGTTATTATTATTATTATTGTTATTATTGTTATTGTTGTTATTATCCTTATTATTATTCTGCTTCTTATTTCCCTTCTCTTTCTATGCAGTAAGGAATTTCTGTTAATCTTTCTACTTAGTAAAGAAAGAGTTTACATTATTAAAGGCATTAATAAGTTTATAGCTTAAATTATAGGCAACACACTTAGAGGCTGCAGTAAATTAGTATTAAATGCTATCTAAAAAAGATTAAATGTAGATACTTACACTTTTAAGGCTTAATCTTCTTACTATTTTTATTAACACTGTTACTGCTAATTAGCTATTTACTGCAGTGCTTGCATAGAGCATTCTTAACTGCATTAAATTTCTAGAATTAAGCAATGTAGAGGACAGCAGCAGAGTTAATTGCCTACAGAATGCCCTTTAAACGCTATTAAAAGGCTATCTAAACATAATAGAATATAAAATACTTATAGCTATAACACTATCTAGCTTTTTACCCTTTTTAATAGTGTAGACAGGCAGCCTTAGTGTACTACTATTATAGTTAGAAGTTATAAGACAGTTAGTTTATAACTACATTAGGTTAGAGATAACTTATAAACGTAATTAGAACAGGTATTAAACCTTAGAGAATACATAGATGCGCTACTTTACTATCTTATAGTTATAAGTAATATAAGAATTATTCTTATTAGCTTGCTTCTAGGCAGCCTTACTACTTTTTAATTTACACTAAAGTATTAGCTAATAAGATTAGATCTTTTTATAACAGAAATAATATACATTACATACCTTAGCACCTTTAATAAGGTCTTAAGAGTTTGTCTTATCCTTCTTTAGAGAGTTACTAAAGCTAGAGAGCTGTATAAAGTTAGAGACTATTACTAAAACATAATTAAATAGTGTTACATATGCTATAAAAGGTTATGTTTAAGGTAAAAAAAAAGTATGTTATAAAAGCGCTAAAATAGTTTCTATGCATAGTGTTATAATACTTCTTAAGTTTATTATCTAGACTAGGCATAGCAGCGTAGAGCTTCTTTATTAGACTCTTATAGTATTCTAATATATATTAGGACGCAATCTAAACGCGATCTAAACAGAATCTAGGCTATATGCAATACTAACCTTAGATAGATAGTTAATCTTCTTTAGCTGTCTTTCTACCTTTGCTATCCTTATGCTAGCAGGAGACATATTAGTAATTAAAGTAAGCTGTTTTAATGTAATTAATAAGCTAATTATAGTTAAGATATACTTACTGTAGCTTATAAAAACATAATCTAGACGCATTTAGATCCTAATTAATACTTACCTTATAAATTTATTTTAAGGTGTTATAAGAAGTGTATTTAATGCAACACACTCTCTTATAAACCTTAACATAGACAAACTTTATAGTATAGCTATTTGCCTTATAAACTTGTTAGAAACATAATTAAAACCTTTATAAAATAAGTAATATTTAGCTTACCTCCTTTGTCTGTTTAATCTTAAATTTAAGGTTAAATTTGTTGTAAGGAATTTAGATTTGTTAGTAGCACATTAGCACATAGCGCTCTATTTTAATCTACTAAACATGTTAGAAACGCTATGTAATTAGGATTAGAATATAATTCTTACACATCTAATTGCCTAATTTAGGAACGTTAGTTCTTGTTGCTGCCCTAACAACATAGTAGTTACTGCAAGTAAGAACAATTTAGCAGTAAGTTAAAAGAAGGGCTTAGAAGTAGTTAGTAAGTGCCTTAGGCTAAAAAGGTGTCAACCCTGCTAAAACAGGTTTAGTATATAGAGAGGGTTAGAGTAAAAGTGAGAGAGGTTTAGTACGAGAAATTTTAATTGGGCCCGTGCGCAGCTAAGCGAGGCCGAGGAGCAGCCGATTTGACTTATTGGTGCATGAACTCTATAGTCTCGGATCCAATCCAGATCCAGGATAGCGCCACGTGATTCCGGATAATCGATTCGGACCGATTCCCGCCAGCACTGATCCCAGTTCGTCATTCTCGTCATTCTCAGGTGAGGGTCGCAAGTCTTCCTCGTGGAACAGTGGTGGCGCCACCGCAGGCCCAATGTTTTGAGGCATTTTGGCGATCCATGTATTGAGATACTCTGCTCGGTTCCGGGATTCTTCCAGGGCATCTCTTAGTCGTTCCTCGGGCTCAATATCCTCCGTCTGCACAATGTGTGCGATGACCGCTCCTATTCGAGTCCTACCACGGCGGCTCTTCAACAAGGCCACGCTTCTCTTTTCCCTCTCCGTCTTACTGTTTTCAAGTAAGTTGCGGTAGTAAGCCTTGAGTAGCTTCCGCGCCGCATCTATGAACCGATGCCGATCCATTCTACTTAGGACTGCTTTGCAAACAGGGCCGAGGTCTGGGTCAGTCGCCAATAACCTTGCCAGGTGCAGTTTCCCTTCAACCTCGACAGGGAGCGTTTCAACAGAACCCTCGGATTGTATATCGAATCCATCCGAGGCTACGGAAAGAATATCGTCGTCGGCTTCGAGGCCTTCTACCACCTCCTTCGTTGGAACTTCAATGGTCCCCGGAACGTTATTGCCCGCGAGCGACTCTGCGCCTCGACTCCTGGAGGCATATCCTGAATCCGTTGGGGGACCTGCAGTCAAAGCTTTTTCACTGTCTGCGGCAATTCCAGAAACCTGAAGCACGTGCTGTTCCTCGGTGTTGGGCGCGTACGACGACCGCTGACTAGGGGCTATACCCTCAGATATCTGGTGTTCAGCAAATCCAGTCGGGCCCGCTTGATTGAAAGTTTCGGCTTTAGGAGAAACATGTTCGAAAGACTTCTCATCCGCATTTGGCTGTAATAGCTCATTCTCTAGCGTGCTTTCCATTGCTAGGCAATCAGCGGGTTCGTCGTGTACGCTGGCTTGTTCAGACCTTGTGTTGGAATCATCCAATGTCAAGTCGATTTCCACGTTTTGTGACGATATATGGTCAGCTTGGCCTTGAGTGGCGATCTTGGAGTGCTGGTTGAAGTTCTGATTTCTATATTCGGCCACCATATCATGCTCCCCCTTATGTGGTGAATTTGTCGGCAGGTCTATATGCATCGGCTGTAGTGTCTTTCCAGACGCCTGCTGATCCCACCTAAATGGCTCGACCGTACATGACTGCTCGCACGTAATGTGTGAGAGAAGCATATTCTGCGTCGTCATTCCGGGTAGCCCAGTATCTAAGGCGTACGGGGATGCAAAGTCCTCTGCCTCAAGCGGAGACGTCTTGGAACTCGTGCTATCGGAAGTCTCGGAGTCAAGCCTGATCTGCTTTAATCCCTGGATATTCCGCTTCTTGGTAAAGCCTTGAGAGCTCCCCGTGGCTCCGGGAGATACTGGTCGCGAGATTTCCAATGCCCGCTCATCCGACACTCCATTCACCAATGTGGACGTTTTCTTTAGATTGTACATTACAGGGAAGCGAGCCCTATGTTTTGGTGTTGTGATACTTATAATACTAGGGGAATCAGAATGTTGCTTGCGGACCGGTCGGCGGTTCATTGGAGTGTAGCCCTGGGTTTTCTCGAGCTCCAACCTTTCGAGATCCCAGGCCTTCTTGATGATACGATACTTCTGCTGAAATTCCCAACACTCCTCTGGAGACCTGAACCTCACTTTGAAGCGATCTGCCTCGAAACGGTCATGATTCTCCATGTACCTGAGAACGGGTGGGCTTAGTGGTATACCGGCCGGGACATGGTCAGCCTGCTCTTCAGGTGTAGGTCGAAGCCAAGAAGCGACAAAGTGGGGATCACGTTGGGGTTGATTGGGTTTGAAAAGCAGAACACATGGATCGGGGTCATCGCCCTCCACATCCAAAACCCAGTTCACGTCTATCTTGATGGTACATATGAATCGAGAGTGATGAAGGTATAGCACGACTCGACGCGGGGGCAGCTCCTTGTAAGTACTTGAGTAGTGACGCTCGAGTCTTGGTTGTCGACCGTAGGGCGTTTCTTGAGAGGAACTGGTATGCGTTCCTTGTAGTCGATCTGCAGCCTCGTCTGCTTTCTCCACCCACAGATGTACGGTCGCAGATCCGAGGTCGAGGCTTTCGACGTATTCTTTCGCCTTCTCTCCTGCCTTGGAAGATCCGATGAGACGAAGCCCCTTGTTCCAGATCTTACCCCCAAGAGGTACGACTCTTTTCAACTCCACCGACTCTACTGTAAAACAGCCCTCGATAGTCTGCGAAGTCAATGTGGACTGAACGAGGTGGGCGGCATCAAGTGCGGAGCTACTAGCAATACCCGAGAAAGAGAACTCCGTGTTTGCCACCATCGAAACCGGACCATGGGTGAGAAAAGATAGTTGAATCCAGGCCTTGGACGTCTCGCTGAAGTCCGGAAGCCAAAAGGCGTAGAGAGGCAGTATCTTGACATGCCCCCGAAGGAAGGCGATATCATAGGGGTTACCTTGATGTTTCCATAGACCAAGCCGCATGCCTCCGGTCTCACTTTCGAAAGCTTCAAGGCTTGCGGCTTCCCATCTCTTTTCGCTCACTGAATAGTGCCACAAGCTGAGGCTGCTTAGCTGGGGGCCTCCAACACGCGTTTCTCCACTGGCTGGCTCCATTGCAGCACCTCTACCTAGTGTAACCTTGAAGTTTGCCTGCTCGATAGCGTCGGATAAAATGCGGACAACTTCAGCGATATCAATTCTATCATCGACATTCGGCTTGAGCATCCTAGTAATGAGATGTAGGATCTTTCTGCAGAATGCTTGACTGGTTTCGCTATTTCGGTCGCCGCCAACTGCTCGGTTCTCCAGGTTTTGCATGAAGGTAATTATCTCTCTCTTAACGACAGGCTCACTCAGGTAGGAATCTTGGTAGAAAAAGCGCTCATCACTCCTCCCAGCTGCCCAAGATGGTCCTGCCTTGCGGACCGAGTCAAGCCCTTCGAAAGGCTCAGCTGGGGGCGAAGAGCCGCTCAAGCCTGCGTACCCTCGGACTACAAACGCGGTGACCTCTAGAAATATACAGCCCAGAGACCAGACATCGTATTTTGGCCCAAATAAAAGGGTAGGATTGTCAATCTCGGGGGGCGCGTAGGCGTTTGTCTCAGAATCGCGGGGTGTCCGTCCGTTACCGTATGTAAGGGCAGCCTGACCGATGTCAGTGATTACCCAGTTGCCGTCGTCATCTATCAAGATGTTTTCGGGCTTTAAGTCCAGGTGCATACAAAGGCGCACCCGAACGCTGTCCTGCTCCCCGAGTGCGCTGATTTGGCGGAGGGCGTTAGCAACTCCGAGCAATTGCACCCACGCGTTACACGACTCCGGTGGCCCTTCTCGGGTCTCTCCGTATTGCAGGGCTGGCTCGCGAAGAAGGTGCGCGAGGTTGGTTCGCGCCAGCGGCATGATGAGGTTTACGCTATCGCCGATTCGGTAAGCCTTGATGAGTTTGACAATGTGTGGGTTCTTGAAGTCGTCCGCAAAGCCGAGCCTGGTCTTCTCGAGATAGAATTGCATCTCTAGTGATTCGATCTTCTTCCTCGCAAACCACGTGACCGTCGAAGCATGCTGGCCATGGTTAGCTGCTTGGCCGAAAATTTCGGATGTAATGTAAGAATGTACGTGCCGGAAACCTTTGATAGGCCTTATAGATCTTGAATCTGATCACCTTCCCTTTTTTACTCTCAGATGCTAGTCTTGCTTGCTTGTCGATCCTTTGCCCAATCTCCTCCTCTTCGATGAAAGGAAGAATGACGCCGTCGTCGTAATGGGTGAAGTCTCCCGATTCCATGTGTGGTACACTGAATTCTGGCAGGTGCTTGATGAACTCGGTAACAAATCGTGAGAATGACTTTTGGTCATAAATGCTGTAGTCTCCAGTACAAAGCTTGATGTTTTCCGCGTTGAACCAGCTCATGGCAACCTCAAGGAACCAGTCGGTTTTACCCCGTTCCGCAAAGCCCATGATAAGTACGGGGTGTTCGACGTAGATCAACAAAGCGAACAGGTTGTGTTTTCTATTATCTAATCTCTCTTTCGTTCTAGGTTCACCCATTATTGACTTCTGATACTGTAGAGGTTCATCACCGTTGAAGTATTTGCGATGTGTCTTACATTGGTCGCAGACACAGCAAAGTATCTCTTTAATCCTCTCTTCGGTAAGATAGTCCCGGACACAGTCCAGCGGGAAAAAGCTCTTACCCCTAGAGGGCCTGTAGCTAAGATCTATGATGTCGAATCGAGCCCTCCGGCAAGCTGGTATGTCGGCCATGGTGTTCCCCTTCACTTGTTGTTCAATGTCGCGAACTCCCGAAAGGATGGATGATGCCAGCTGAGCAAAGTAGGGGGGATGAGCAGCTACATTTCCTCAGATGATTTTACCCTCATACAAGGAAGAAGCCTCCACTTACTGCCAGGCAATGGGTACGGTAACGAAGATGCAGCCGAGGTGCACAGTCGAAGGGTTGTCTAGACGTAGATCATCGACAATGAGGAATGATCGATTGGAAAGCATAGCGTGCGTGACTGCAATGCGAGCGGACCTGCGATGCTGCAGGACCAGGGAAATATTCGGGCTTGGAAGATTGTGCTCTCGCAGCTCAGTGAACAGAGTGCGCTTGACGTGAGAGAAGATGATGCGCAATGCTACTGCCTAGGCCGTGGGGAAAACGTCAAGGGCACAGGTGAGCCTTGGGGGCAGAGCCCCCCCACCAGTAAATTAGCGCTGGTGGCTGTTTTCAGTCAAGCCACACAGCCATGCGGCCTTCGAAGGTGCGCCACCCGACGCTTTCTCTTGCATGAGCTGAGAAGGGGTCATAGGGTAAGCGAGCCGACAAGGCATTGAGATCCAAACAAGGTGAATTGTACCAGTGTATTGTAAGGTCTAAGGAGCTTCTAGGCTGACTATATACTGTACAAGAAAGGAGCGAGTCCTAATGAGTGAATAGTGCAGTACATGTGTATGATATCGCGTGAGACACGTGCAACAAATTAAGCAGAGCATGAAGTTATACTGTATACAGCAAAATGGTTTTAAATACAGACTCCGCTGCCAGTCAAACTTTGCTCGTTCGGCCAACTTCTAGTGTGAAGCTACGTGAAGCACTAGAGGCATGAGGAACTGGATTTTATTGATTGCTCAAGGAGTCCTTTGTAGGAGTCTATATATACGCGAAATAAGCGGGTAAATCTCGGCAACATAGACTATGGTGAGATGCATACGACTATGGTGACGACGCATTCGACTATCGTGTGACTACTGCAAACATCTAGGCAGGGCTGCTTCGCTCCTCACCCAACCTCAGGCATTCATTCATTCATCAATTAGTAACTTATGGTATATTATTGTAATAATCAACAAAATCAACGATTTTTCTATTGTCATAGCTATCCTCCTCCCGACTGCGAGTCGGTCCCCTCTCCACACCTCCTGGATCCTTACCCACCACAGTATCTCTGTGGTTGTCCCGCTGCGTTGTATTGTGTGGTGGTGATAGTTTCCCCTCACCGGCACGCCGGCATGTTGACTGTCGCAGCGTCGCCATCGCGTCGCTGCACCGCGTGTCCTGTCTGCTGTCTTCTCCCCCCAGCAAGCGGCTGTTTTGTGGATGTTTATTCGATATTTTGGGACTGTTTCGACGCGTTCCTAGGCTGTTGCCTCTTTCTCGCTCAAAATATTCACGAAAATCTGGGCTGGAAATCAGCGGCTGAAATTACTCGTTAAAAATATCTGCGACGTTGGGAGGATCATATCTGATTCACACTGCATTATACATGGTATCGATCGGGCCTCTGCTAGAATGAATTGCGGGGCTAAAAGGATGGATGGATGGATGGATGACTGATAAACGAGAGTCTATATTCACCATTCTGAGAATGAAACACGAGAAGATGTTTCACGATTGACTGGCTAATACGTGGAACAATCTAAATATCATTGTTTCTTACTGCAGATTTCCTGGTTTTCGACTGTTTTCCTCCTATAGTAATCCGTCACGCCCGCCTCAGCCATCTCCGGCGGGAGCGAAAATACAACACGATTAATACCATATGAGCAGCTCTCAAGCTGCGCCATCTCGTCGGTGTTGTTATAGATAAGCGGAAGCAGTGGTTGCGTGAAACTGCGAAACTGCACCTGGTGTTTCAGAGTAGCAGCTTCAAATATCGGAGGGTAGAATCCGGCGCAGCCCCAATCGATCAGCCAAAGCTGATTATCAGCATCCAATATCAGGTTCCGTGGACTAAGATCCCCATGAGTGAGGACAAAGTGACGATATGAGATTTCTGGAACTTCTACTGCCGCTTGCTTGAGATGCTTACTAAGGGCGAGTTTCCAGTTTACCCACTTCTCGAACACGGCTTTGGTTGGAAACGGTCCTGCACCGTAGTCGCTGAACCACATACCGCGAGATATCCCCCCGTGAATGACACCTGGGCTGTCGGAATGGATAGATTGTAGCTGATTGACCATGGCTGCGACCTGAGTGACGAGATCCTTTTGTGCCTCTTGGTTAAGTTGGTCCCAACAGCTGTCCAGAGAACGGCCTTCCACATAGTCCATGACTATGTAGCCTTCCACACCGAAGTATGAGGAGGGGGAATCGACATTAAAGTAGCGGTGCACTTTGGGTAACCTTACTTCCGGACAAGCCGTCATAACGTATCTCATTGTTTCGCCTTCCGAAGCAAGAACGCCTGTACCACTCTTAAGGATAAGGCTGCGGGAGAGTCGCACGATTTGTACTCCCCCAAGTGAATGAAGGACCGGCGCAGCCTTCCCATGGGCTATGAGTGTTTTTTGCGGCATTGAAGATATGTCGAAGGCTAGACCGTCCAGTGGGAATTTGGTCGAACGGTCCCGAGCAGCGGGCTATGGTAGTCCTATTAGTATATGAAACTGGGAGCGGGATTGGAACTCTTACGTCAACAATCGGTTCGAACATGATGATGTGTGGCGGGGGGATGACAGAGAAAAGAGTGAACAAAGCTGAGCCCAGGCTTTGTGACTTGTTCGTGCTGTTGCAAAGCACGCATGAGAGCGTATTCCGACCGAGCCAAGAGTTAGTGTTGCGAGAGCCGTACTGATTGGTAGAGGACCAGTGGGACTGCAGGGGCTGCCTCCTGAGCTTTGGTGGATAGGGAGAGAAGCCCTAGTTCGTGCGTGCAAGCGAGGAGTTTGCGATCACGTAATCGTGATATGTTTGGGCCGTGCTTATCTCAGCGAGCTCAGACGGTCGAGGCTTTAATTAGCGCCACACTATACTCCTTAAAGTAAAGCTGTTTTCTTACAGTCTACTAAGTTTTTTCTAAACTAATTAGAAGCTATAATTTTCTTAAAGCTCCTCCTATCTAAGAGACTTTAGTGCGCCTGTGTAAGTGTAACACTTCTAATTCTTTTAACTATAGCTAGAAAATTAACTTTTTAATAATTTTTAGCCCCCTTTAGGTAGCTACAACTTTCTTACTTTTTTTATACTATTATTAGTACTATACCTATAATTAATTTTACTTTAACAGGAAAATTCTAGCTTTTGTGTGTAAAAATATATTATTTATTATTATCTTTTTACTTAACACTTACTACTTACTTACTTTACTAGCTTTATTATATCTTTTATTTTAATAACATTGTCTTAAGGCTTTTCTACCTTCTAGCATTTTAATCTGCAGTATACTATAGAGTTATTCTTACTACTTCTTATGCTCTTATTATCTTCTCTGCTGCTTAACTCTTCTAATCTTTTGTCTAACGCGCACCTACTAACTACTTACTAGCCTCCTACATCTTAGGCAGATAAACTTATAAAAGTACTTTAGCTTTTAAAATAGCTTAATTTTAGTATTAGTAACTTTCTACACGCCTTTTATGTTAATTTAGTCCTATATACCTATTTATCTACTACCTGTATATTGCATATTTGTGTAGCTTTAGAACAACTATATAGTTTAAAGATACTTTTAAAAAATTAATATATATCTAAAAATATAGTTAATATTAGGAAGCTATTATATAAACTTAACTTATTAGTAGCGCACTTCTTTTTTATAAAGTATAATATTAAGACTAAGGTAAAAATAAGTAGCTTTAATATTAGTAATTTTAACAGCTAGATTACAGTTACTGCACTAAAGTAGTCCTTATTACTTTAGAATTTAATGTAAAACTGTTAGAGTGCTTAGTCTAGTTATAAAGTAAAAAAAGTGTTAACTAATTCTACTCTCTACTTAATTACTTCTATTATTATGTAAAAGTGTGCTAAGAAGTAATTAAATTATTTTTTAAAAATGCTTAAACATTATTTTTATAGTAGTAATATAAAAAGGCGTGTTATTAAAGTTATGTTTAGTTTTAGCTTATGCAACTTCTATAAGATTATTAATAAAAAAATTAAACATATTATAAAATAGTTAAGAGTTTAGTAAGTATATTCTCTAACATCTCTCTTTAATTCTAGCGCTAAAAAGTTTACTAAAATAGTAATAACTATAGCTTAAAACTTTTAGCTTATTATTATTTATAATAATTTTAACTATCTAGACTAAACCTATAATTATGCTTTAAGTGTGCTAACATAAATTATGTGTAATCTTACAACTGCTCTTGCTGTTAAGTGCCTATAGCTACTAAAAGGCAGTCTTTAACAGAGCATGCTTAACTATACTATTTCCCTTTAAGTAGAATCTATATACTAGGCCCCTAGTATAAAATAAGATTTAATATTAAAAAAGATTATATATTATTATTTTTTAAGCATAGTAAGTTTTATGCATAGAGCTGCTATACAGTTAATGTTTAATTTACATGCTATAGCCCTTTTAAGTATGCTGTTAGTTAACGTTCTTCTGCTACAGCTAGTTAGTTAGGTCTAAAACCTTAGTGCTATCTTCTATAATAAAGGTACTATTAAGGGGACATATAAAGTTTATAACAACATTTAAATTAAGTAGTTTAGGCTAAGTAAAAACTTTTTATTTAATACTTTTACTATATTTTCTAATTATCTTTAGCTAATATAAGGTAATTAGAAGACAGTAGAGCATATCTAAAGTGTCTGTTATAAGCAGCAGCTTGCTTGCTGTCTGTATAATTGCTGTAACTAGATAGTTAGCCCTTTTGCATATTTCTATATTCTCTAGGCTCTAACTTATATAATTATTAGAACTTATTAAAGCAGTTTTAATAGTGTTAAGTCTTTTTTAAATATACTTTATAATATTACTTACTAGAAGTAAACTAGTATTAACTATAATAATGTTAAGTATTATTTAGTTACTTTACTTATCTAGTTAAGTTAAGATACTTAGATTTTTTTTTTTTTTTATACTAAAATAGCTTATTAAAGTTATTTTACTAAAATAATTAGCAACTTTAACACATCTACTTATAAGAAATTACTAGGCCTAGTTAACAATGCTATTTATTATTTTACACTAGTGTAGTATAAAAAAGTCTTTAACAGTATTTAGCTAAGCATCTTTACATACTAGGCTTAGAAAGGCAGTGCTTTTATTACTAGTAATCTTATAATGCTTTATTAATACTTTTAAAAAATTAAAGTATTCTTTACACTTAAGCACACTATTAAGTTTAGTAATATTAGCCTAATTTACTAAATAGTTAATCTATTAATTATCTTGTTTTATAGCAGCAACTAATAGCGCTATAGTTTTAAAATGCTACACCTACAGTAGCTTCTTACAAATAAGGTGTCTAACCTAGAACTTTAGCGTGCTATTCTAGCCTCTAGTTTAGTAAATATTGCTAGGCAAAAAAATACATTTAAAGCTATTAACCTTATACTTAAGTATGTAAACTATATGTATAAGCTAGATATGCAGGACTTAAAGAATAGAACACATAATGTAAACTTAACATTTAACTACCTAGCACTAACTAGTAGATATACTACCTATCTTTAAGCTAGCCTAGAGCATAGTTTTAGTAAGAAGTTAAAAAATAATTATACTTATTAGTTTATTACTTAAAAGGTTTTTACACTAGTAAGTTAGCTTTAAAAGAAAAAAGAGATATATTCTTACTTATTTAATGCTTAGTATAATGTAGTAGTAATAAGTCTTAATATTATTTAAATAAGTTTTAATAAGCTTAATAAAAAAGTTATAAAATTTAACTAAAATATTATTTAACTAGCTTAAAGTATTTTACTAAGTTTTATTATTATTAACCTAGAGTTAATTAACCCTAATAAGGCTAAGTTTATCTATACTGCTGTATATACTAAAGCAGTTAATAATATCTTCTATGCGCCTTTAGACCCTAAAGATACTAACTAGTCTAACATAGACATGTTATAGCTATCTTAGTTACATAATATTAAAAGTGTATAGTGTACTTATAAGTTAGTCTAATTTGTCTATTTATTCTAGCTATATAATGCTATTATATAGCTTTATAGAAGTCTATATACATAGAAACTACTATAAGAAACTTAACCTAAGCTAACTGCCTTTACTCTTAAACTAGTCTATTTACCTGCGCTGCAGCTTAATAAGAACACTAGCCTAGGCATAATCTGCATAGAATAAGATAAAAGGTAACATTTTCTAGGGGAACTAACTTGTAAGACTAGCTGCTGCAGTCTGTAGGCCCTCTACAAGCGCACAGAGCCGCCTAGAGCCCTAGAGGAGGGCGATGTTAGGATCCTCAGCCTCTACTATAGCCTAGTAGAGGCGACTGCGGCATTAGAGCTTACTTATTTTATGTGCAGCCCCCTAGGCCTAGAGCTGTTAAGCGCTTATCTAGTGTAACTTCTTAAGCAGTAAAGATAAAAGTGTGTGCTTTAGACTAAACATATTACTTTTACTAATATTACTACATTACTTAATATATATTTAGACTATTGTAGCTGTGTTTTTTACTTACTTATACTTTTTAGCCTAAATAAAGTTTAGTAAAATCTAAGTAGTAATAATAACTCTAAGTTAAGCTACTAGCTTTTTATTAGTAAGCAGCTAAAGTAAATTCTTTAAATTATACTTAATAATAAAAATATATTTAGAGGCTTTAGTAGTGTTAAGTTTAAACTATGTAGCAGAATTATAAAAAAAGTAGAAGGACATAGTAAGAATAAGGTAGCTGCTAGGCGCTAGCATCTTCTTCTAGGTCTAGAGGGCTTATTAATAATAAGCAGGTGTAATAGTGTTAAAAAGGTAAATAGTAAATATAATATTAAACTTAATAAAGCAGCTAACGCACACTGTAACAAGGTTTAGAAGGTCTTTCTATGTAACGCTAGCTTTAAGGAGAAACACCTTCTAGTTGTTTTAGCTAGCTAAAGCGCGCGTAAGCTTTTTATGTGTAAGGTAGGCAAAGACATTAATGTTAAGAAAGCCCTGTACTGCGTCTACACCTACACAGATGCTGTTGCCTACTGCAAGCTTTGCAGTAATAATAGCTCTTTTAGCGCTAGTGCTAAGGTTAAGCATGTTCTTATTAGCCCTTAGGTAGGCTATTACTAGCGCAGCAGAGGTATTATAAGCTTACAGCATGCTAGTAAGGTCTACTTTACTAATAAGCAGCTAGTACTTCTTACAGACTTTATAAACATTTTTATAGTAGACTATAGTTATAGCTAGCGCGCGTAAGGTAGATAGTAGTTAAGATAAATAGCTTAAAAAAGTAAAAAGTAAAGTTAGAAAGTAAGTTAATACTTTATCTACTTTACTTTATTAGTTTTAGATATGTATAGATTATATATAGTAGCTTACTATTAAATAAAAAAGTAAAAAGTAAGTAATAAAAAGTAAAAAGTAAAAAGTAAAAAGCTATTAAGTAAGTTAATGCTAAAAGTAAGGCGCAAAAAGTTAGTGCTAGAGGTAATGCTAAGAGTAAAGAAAAGCAGAAGGTAGAGAAATAGCCTGCCTTTATATGCTGTAAAACGCTGGCTGTTAAAAGCAGTTGCTGTTATATATATAGCAGGTG